AAAACCATACAGGTAATAAAACGTAGAGATGGGATACAAACTTAAGCCTGTCTACTTCCACAGACTGAGTTCTCTTACTGTGTGACATATGTAAGTTTTGTTTCTTCAGGAAGGTTGTGAAGTCTTTGGAGATAGCACCCTGTCTTCTGTTTCCTCAGATTTCAAAAGCACCAAGCCAACTGCTTGCCTCATTAGAGATGCTGTAGATATACGTTTGGAGCTTATTTTGCAGGCATTTAGAGGGATTAATCAGTGGCTTCATGAACTTGATGTAAGAAAAGTTACATCTTTATATTCTCTAGCCTCTAATGTATTTAGTATAATATTTCTTCCGATTATGAATATAGGCAATTATTCAAAGTAATATTAACAACCTCTGTGACTTGTCAAAGATAGAAGTTACAGATTTTCCCCATCACATTATAGCATGGCAAATCTTATAACTTTGAAATTATGGCAATTACTAGATTTGCCTCTAGATCTTGTTATCTAATGTGTAAGTAAAAAAACACATTTTTATGTCATAATTTTTGTTTCTTCATTTTATAACTGTATTTCAATACAGTTGATTTACTTTGTAATCCTATGTATTTCCCTTTATGCATTTAAATCTGAGGGGCTCTCACAGGGTTCACTGAAAAGCCAACAGGCTCATGGCACAAAAAGGGCAGAGAGCTCACCTTGGAGTGATGTCTTTGACAGGACTTAGTGTGGAGCTGAGAATTGACCTTAGGAAGAAGCTTGGATGCAGTTAAGGCCTGTAAGTAAAAGGAACATTTAGTAAACAAGGAGAGTGATTAATTGGGAGACCAGATTCGAGAGAGCAGCTTGACAATTTGGAAAGGAAAACCCCCTCAGTGGGAAATTAGATGAAGCGAGAGAAGACTAAGTGGGTGGGATGAGGGTATTGGTTACGGATGCCCAGAAGGGTTTAAAGCCGAGATAACAGCTGTGTGAGGGAATTAGCAAGGTGTAGTGGGACAGAGAAGGTACTTGGGAGGACTCTGGGACAGATTCAGGGGTGGGGTCCTGGGTTTTGGTAGATGAGTGAGCTGGATTTCTGTGAAGTTTGGGGGTTTTCGTGGCCTGGATGGTTGTGGGGGCGTCAGGGAGAAGCTTCGGATCTGGCTGGATTCAGCCTGTGTTCTGGGTTCTTAGGAGTATTTAAAGTCTAGGATAAGCCCTAAGTCTGGGGGTGTGGGCGTGGGAAGTACCCTGGTTGTGGCACTTCATGAGAACATGTGGAAAGGTAACATTTTAAAAGTGTGCCATTAAAAGGAAAATTAGTATAGTAATAACAGCTAATAGTAGTAGTAGCTAACTTTTATTGAGCACTTACTATGTGCCAGTTACTGTGCTAAGTGCTTTGTGTGCTTACCCCATTAGTTGGTTCTATAGCAGAATA